ACTGCTGTTAGAGAACATCCTTTGCGGACAAAGACGAATTAATTGGAAATTTGCATTTAGCTTGTTCGTTCTCTGCAGCTTAATAACACCTGCTTGGATATTTCCAGGAAAAACTCCTGGAAGTGTTTTGCTTTGTAAACATTAACACAGGTTTGATTTAACCCCCCTCTTGTCGCATGAAAGTGTGCCCACCTATGATCCTTGTGCCAAATTGAAATTTGATTGCATTGAAATCCATAAATAATTCATGGATTCTTGATTAGGGATTATTCACATTAAGCAGAATGTGTGTTTTTTCTGCTTGTAAAGTGTATTATGATTACAGATTTGAATAAAAAGTATTTGTGTAAAAAGGTACATTTTAAGGTTTATTTTGTATTTCACAAATAAATGACTAACATTAAAAATCACTGCTTCACAGAAAGTGCAAGGAACTAAATTTTTTTTTTAAATGTCAAATATTTTGGGGTCAAATATTATTCATAACTTAAAGGTATACACAACGGTTCAAATATTTGTGGTCTGTCCAATTTTGTCACATAGGCTGCATTAAAAAAATATAAAATACAGCAAACTAGTTACATTGTGAAATATTATTACAATTTTAAATAACGGTGTTCAGTTTGAAATTATTTATAGTTTATTCCTGTGATGGCAACACTTCATTTTCTGCAGCTATTACTCCAGTCTTCAAGTCTGATTTTGTTGCTTCATTAATTTGTTAATTAATAGAAAAATGAAAAGATAACATTATTAATCATGTGCCAAATCTGACAACAGATGTTTAAAAAGTTATTTTCATACAAGAAATTATTATTATTATTATTTAGAATTGTGTTAAGACATTGTCACAAAGCCAGATTTCAATACCAAAAATGTTCATATTTCTAATGTATTGTTTTTACCAAAAATGAACAAGACAATAGGAGGGTTAAAAACGTAAATGGCAAAATGTGAATGACAAGCAAAGAGAAGATGCAGGGGCGTCCTCAGCCTTACGTAAATGACCGTAAAGCAGCAAATTGTCAGAATAATGGGAAGAGACAGTTACATAAGGCGTCATGATTTGGCGACTTTGTGGAGGAGGAGAACCGTTGCTTTGAATGACGGTTTAAGAGCTTAGATTATCTAGTCAAGGTAACTCATCCAAATAGTGATAGGATCAGATGCTTTCATATGCATTCCTTGTTTTAAAGCAGAAAACGGATGCAATTTTGCAGTCCTGAATAAATTAGTATGTGCTAAGTATATTATCCAGACTGACCAAGCAGAGAGTCCCAAACAGGAGGTCTATAATGCATGGAGAACATTATATAAAATAATTGAGTTTCAATTAGAACAATTAGAATGAAATATTCTAGTTTCCCCTGAACAACAATCTGACTTTGCCTTTTCAAATTCAGGACACAGAAAAAAGTATGGATTTTCTGCAACACTGCCATTGAGCTAATGCCTTGCTGTAAGGAGCGTTTTATGAGGTTGTAAAGTTCTTGCGACTTACTCAGAATTGAAATGCGGTGGGCAGGTAACCCTATTAGCATTTACTTAACAACATCAAGCCTATACTTGATACATCATGCATGAAGCCTCGGAGCAAAGTACAAGCCACTCTCATTGAACAAGTAGATATTATTTTGCCTGGGTGTCTCGAAAATACAAACTGAGGAGAAAGAGAGAGAGAGCATCACAACGGTTAGGGCATATAGCAGAATCAAAGTATATATGACATTAAATGAGCATTGATATCAATCTTTCTATTCCCAAACAGATGTCAGCAGTAAAGTGATACGAAGAAAATGAAAATCTATGATGCTAATGAGATGAGGAACCGAATGAGACGGCAGATAGAAAAATATCAATCTTCCAAATGAGGGGTCATATTGAGTCTCTCTAGAAGCATTTTCTTTGATCAGGGTGCGCGTTTAAACAGCGGAGGCTTCTGTCTTTTTCACAAAACTTGTGTCAAAAGAAGCAAAACAATATGTTTCTTTATACTCTCTATTTACAAGATAAACATACGAAGATAACTGGTGCCGGAAACCGTCAGGACACGTTTCAAAATGTCTTTGATCGTCTTGACAGCGTCACTTCTCTTGAAGAGATTGAGACACGACAGTGTGAAATCCGTTTCTTACCTCGCCAGCACATTTCCTGTGACGTCATTGCGTTTTATCATCATTGTCCGTTATAAACATGCCAGCGTAGAATTCTGGAGGGGCCAAAGCAATTATCGTGGCTCCTGAGGAGACGGGTGACGTTCCGTCACTGTTCCGGAGGCCACGAACAGGTTGAAATTTGCAATATCCACACTGACTGTTGGTGAGGTACCATGTCCACATTCATTGTGTGAAGTCTAAACGCACAGGCACACAGGGTGAAAAAAAAACTGCTTACAGGCAATAATTCCATATTCTCAAAGTCCTTTGAAGGTTGAAAGTAAGAAAAAACAAATAGAACATTTATGCGATTGGACAATGGCGAGAGTTTCTTGAACAAAATGCTCTGCTGAACTACAGTGAGTGAAACAGAAAACTGAGTAATACAGAATCAGTGAAATGTGACTAATGGATGACCACAGAAGTCTATTAGACTAGTAATAGTCTGATGTTCAAACAAAAAACCACACAGGAGCATCTGGTCTGCCTTAATCTCAACTCAAAATAAAAATGAACAGGCCCTCGAATGACTATGGGAGACTGGAGGCTATTGTAACACTTATTCAGCATATGCTCAGAAGAGATTACTTTCCGCCTGAGGAAAAGCATGATCATTTGACTTTGTGAGAAATAACATTGATTTTTTTCTTCTGTTGTCTAAAATTATACCTTTAAATAAAAACAAAATAATAATTATTATTTGGAATCATGTTTTAATTACTAACAATGTATATATATATATAAAATAATAAAATTTTAATAAAAACAATTTTCCACTTTATCTTATATATATATATATATATA